AAAGTATACCTAGACTACTTCTCCATGGTTCTCATCTGGTCCAGAGTCTACAAGGTCCTAACTTTGTGTGCTCTGCCACCTCTCTGTCCTCATCCCCCACACATCCCTGCGGCTCACTTGGCTTCAGACCCAGTGGAATTTCTCTTCCCTCTGCCAGAAACACTCTCTGGGAAGCCACAGGGCTTGCTCTCATGGACATTCATTCAAATATCACCTCTGCAGTAAAGGCTCCCCTCATGGCCACCTCCCTGAGATGACAAATTCTCTCTACCCTTTTTTCCCCCCTGTGTACCTCTAGTAGCCATCTGATCCATCATGTCTGTGGAGGATGGATGTTTTTCTTATTTTCTCATTCTTTCTATCTACCCACCCCAGAGACTAGTAGGGTACCTGGCAAAAAGTGGTTCTCCTTTAACTAATTGTAGGTTGGATGAATGAACCCTCATACCAGCTTATGAAGGGGGGTGTCCTTAGCACTTCTGTCTCCATCTTTTACAAAGAACTGAGACTTATAGAGGGGACCTGATGTCCCCAAGGTCACAGGAAAGGAATGAGACTGAAGCCTGGGCCAGCCCGACTCCACTGTCTGTCTTTTCCCGTGCTCTGCCAGCCTCCTAACACCAGGGCAAATTAATTCAGGGAAGCCCATGTGAGGGGGCTGTGGGAGGTCACAGAACTTGGCCTGGAACCAGGGAAGACATCTCAGAGACTCAAGAGTGATGTCCAAGCCTAAATATTGAAAGCAGGCTGTGCATGAAAATTAAGCATGTAGACAGACCCTGAGCTAACCTTTGGAGGGTCAAATTCCAGCCTCGCCACTAATCAGCAGGACCTCTGTGCCACTCTTGAAAGCGTGTATACAATGTTTGTCTAAGCCCCTCCCTTTATATCCAGATGAAGCTCGGTGACTATGTTGTCACCAGTAGAAAACGGGGGGGGGGGGCCAGGGGGGTGAGGAGGGGGTGTACAGCACATAGAACTTCTGCAGGTAGGTCAATAAGGTCTTGCTGCTTCTTCCTGGCTTGTGCAGGCTCCACACCTTGGGAGAAGCCAGCCTCTGCCCGAGATGCCTAGCTATGTGAGGACTCCGTGCTAGATGTCATAAGAAAGCCCCAAGGAGCTGCCAGCTATCAGACAGCCTGGACCACTGGCCGTGTGAGAAAGCCATCCTGAGGCCCATCCTGGATGGAGCTTGATGGGGCCACAGCTGACACCTGCTGGCAACCAAGTGAGAGACACCGAGTATTTGCTGCCCCACTGAGCAAATGTCTGTCTAGAGATCATATTTATGTCACAGTGGAACAGTGATTTTGAGCAAGTGAATTAACCCATCTGGGCTTTGGTCTCTCCAACCGTAACAGGGACAGTGCCTCACAAAGTGGGTATCACCATTAAGTGAGTTCCTCAGCCTGGAGCTCTGAAAACACTAGATACAGCATGCGCTCTGTAAGTGTGAGCTTATACTCCAAGGTCCACACAGCTCCACCTGTCAGAGCCAACCACACTGAGCAACGGGGACCTGAAATACCACCAAATGGCTCATCCTGGGGAGAGGGAAACTGAGCCTCAGAAAGTGTCATACGGCACATGTGGGCAGAGCTGTTGAAAAGCAGACCTTTTGTCTTGGACCTGTGCTGGTTCATCATGATCCAGGTCACTCAGTCAGCTGGCAAGAGTCTGGGGGCTTCTGGTGAGGTGCGCAGATGAAGCTGACTGTGGGGAGGAAGAAAGGCAGCTCTGAAGGACCTGGTCTGGGGGCATGGAGATGGCTCAGAGTGCAAAGGTGACTGCCACCACTCCTGACCATCTGGGTTTGACCCCTGAGACCCACCTGGTAAAAAGAAAGAGCCCCTATCCTTGGTTTCTAAGAACAAGTTCAAGATGTACACACCCCTCCCCCGACCGTGTGCACAAATTGATCTTTGTTTTGTGTTTTTGAGGCCATGTCTCACTGTGTAGCTCTGGCTGTCCTGGGACTCGCTCTGTAGACCAGGCTGACCTTGAACTCATAGAGATCCACCTGCCTCTGCCTCTCAAATACCAGGATTAAAGGTGTGCGCCATTATATGTGGCTCCAATGGGGTTGTTTGTTTGTTTGTTTGTTTTTGTTTTTGAAAGAAAAGAAAGCTAGTCAGTCTTTGGTGTCATTTCTCCTTTCAGGGTTAGCTCATGACTAATATTCCAGGAATAGGGTTTGGGCTTAAAAGCCTAAATCTTTGATCCCTTATAAATATGGCATTTCCCCATGGGAAATCTCATTGACTGGCCTCTTGGACCTGAGTGTGAGTGAGGTTTGAGGAACAAGTCTGAGAGTGAGGGGCGGCGTCTTGAGATTGTGGATGGGGACTAGTGGGTGTGGATCCAGGAGAAAAGCACTATGGGAAACCACAGGCAAGCTTCCACTTTGAGACCAGTAAAATGCAGAATGCCACAGGCCCGGCAGGTGGAATGGAGCTGAAGAAGCATTGTCTGGTGAACTTGAGTGCCCCTCCTTACTTTGGATATGTAGTCTCGGGTAAGTCCTTTGGGAATTCTCCATTAAGAAATAAAGAAAGGAGTCTGGGGACGGCCCCACTGGGTGGGTAAAGTGCTCGCCGTCCAAGCGTGAGAACCTGGGTACAGATCCCTGGACATGTGCCTATAATCTTGGTACTGGAGCGGTGAAGACAAGAGGATTTCAGGGGCTCACTGACCAGTCAGGCTAGCCAGATTGGAGA